TCCGTCACTGTAAGCCTGTTAAATAAGAAATAAATCACGGCGATAAAAAGTGGACTGCTTAACAATTAGGAAAACATCTCTTAAAAGGACTCTACATCAAAGAGGAAATCAAAACACGAAATAAAGGCCGTCGAGAGAGCCATGAAAAGGAACGTATATCACAATAAGATCTATTTGTCACAGCTAACGCTGCAATCGGAGGAAAATTTATATCCTTTAGATGCCTTTTAGAAGAAAGACGTTAAATAAATGAACTATGTATCACTCTGAATTAAGTTGAAAGAAAGTATCAAGTTAGCCAGGAAGAGGGAACTCATAGATATAACTGCCCAAGCTGGGGCTACAGAAAACAAAGCTAGCAAAAAAAAAAAAAAGGTTTTTAGTGTTCTGATCAGAGAATAAATGCCTAATAAAACATAAATCTCTCATGAGCTTGGTTTAAAAAAACAACGCAAAACTATAAAGCTCGAGGAAGAAAAAAAGATGACAGATACAGAGGAACATAAAGTCAGCAAGAGAAAATGTGTTTCTGCTATGCGGCAACACTGTAGAAACCCTGGAGGAATTAAATCACAATGTATAAGTTACAAATTGTGTAAGAGAATTTTACAAATTGTATAAGAACAAAACTGCCACACAACAGCCTAAAAAGAGCTTCACGATCTCCTCAAAGCGGTGTCCCAGGCTCAGAGGGTTTTTACGGCTTCATTCTGATATTTGACCTTCAAGGAGATGAGCCCCCGTTCTCGGGTCTGTTCCGGGGACACGGAGGGGCAGGCAGGCCCCCCTTCTGTAAACACCCCGTCTGCACACACGCGAGGGCAGGTTCCTGCTCCTCCGAACCCTGGGCGCTGTTATTTCTGGGATCAGATATCAGGGGTGTCTTTCATCAGGCGGAGGGGACGGTTTCCGTTTTCATGGCTGTTTAGGAGGACACAGGACACAGGACACCCTCCCGGAGCCGACCTCCGCCGCCCGGTGGGCCGGGGGCTGGCTGCTTTTTGCTATTTGACAACTGCCCAGATCGGGGCTCTGGTAAGAGATCCCCGAGCCGACGCGCAAAGTCAGGGCAGATCTGTTTCTGGAAGGGTCGAAGGGCACCCGCGTCTTTACTTCTCGTTGGAATGGGGGCTTGTTTGTCTCCGTGGAGGTTGTTATCGATGTGTTTTTCCCACACGGGCGGCTGAGGTTCGCCCACCCATAGGGTATTATCGGATGCTTTAGTATTTAGTAATCAGATAAGTAAGAAATTCCACTGCCTTAATTTGTCTTATCATAACCGGGCTTATCAGTGTCTTTTCATCCTTAGGACTCACTGGTATTTCCTTTTCTGAGAACTGTTTTTCACATAGTTGACTCTCTCCTCCTTGTGATTTACAAGGGCCTCGTAACACGTCGATGAAATCAGCCCTGGGCCTCTGAGTAAAATCGGCCCCGCGTCTTTGAAGTGAGTGGCAACTATTTCCCCAAAACGATTTTTGGTGTTTTGTGTGGTTTTTTGTGTGTGTTTTTTTTTCTCCTTTGCTTTGCAAAACATTTTTATTTTACATATTGTTTTCGTTGAGGCAGAACTGACACGTACTAAACGGCGCTGTTTAAAGTGTGCGATCGGGTAATTTTTGACACACAATGAAACCGTCACCACTATCAAGTTAATGGACGTATCCATCACCCCAAGTTTCCTGTGTCCTTTGTATGCCTCCTCCCAAAACTGTCCCGGGCCCCCCGATCCCTAGGCAACCACCGGACTTGTCACTTTACATTAGTCTACATTTTCTGGGTTTTGTATAAATAAAATAAGACAGCCAGCATGGACTCCTTTTTTTTTTTTTTTTTTTTTCTGGTCTGGCTACTTTCACTCATCATTTTGAGCCCTGGCCGGGTGGCTCAGGTGGTTGGAGCATCGCCCCTGATACGACAAAGTTGTGGGTTCGAACCCTGGTCAGGGCACGTGCAAGAATCAACCAATAAATGCATAAATACGTGGAGCAACAAATCCATCTCTCTCTTCCCCCCCTTCTCTCTCAAGTCAATGAAAAATTATTATTATTTTGAGATTCACCCAGGCTCTTCTGTATATTAGCCATTTATTCCTTACTTTTGAGTAGTGCACCACGGTATGGATTGACTACAACTTTAAACAACGTATTCTAAAGGCGCCGGGCATTTGGGTCGTTTCCAGTTTTCATAAAACCCGCGCAGGTGTCATCCGTGCATCTGTCCTTGTTTCTCCCGGACAGACACCCGGGAAGGGCACGGCCGAGTCACGTGGCAGGTGGGGACTGAGCGTTTCAAGAAGCTGCCGGGCTGTTCCCCAGGCAGCTGCACCACGGCCTCCCCGCCCCCGCGAGCGGACGCGGGTCCTGGTTCCCCACCTCCTCGCCGGCGCCTGGCACGGTGTGACTGACGTGTGGCAAACAGGATGGCCACCAGGGTGACCCTCGAAAAGTCCGGCCCAGAGACCAGAGCCAGGGGTGACATCGCGCCTGAGACCAGCACAGGCAGCAGACGCCAGGAGGGGCCTGGCACCCCGTCCTGTCCTGAACTCCGCCCGGGTGAGACCGCGGTGACGCAGGACAGGGCCAGAGGCGCTGCTCCCGTTGCCCTGAATCCGGGGCCTCTCGGCAGCCGGTCCTGGGCGCCCGCAGGCGCCGTGACTCAGAACCTTGAGACTGACCTCGGAGTCTGGGTCAGAAATCAATCCTCCAGGTGACGGAGGGACTTTCCAGGAAAGTGCCACCTTGGAGTGTCACTGCCCGGCCCTCTGCCCCCAGGAGTCATGGAGGCTGTTGGGGACAGCTCTGAGCGGCGACGGGGACTCCTGCCTCGGGTGACCGTGGGCCCGGTGCCCCGAGAGCCTTCTCGGCAAGCTCCCCACCAGGCTTGTGAGACCAGCCACTGGGAACTTGCGGGACAGGGAGGGGTCCCCAAGGCCAAGAATGACGCAGCAGAGGATACTGCCCGCCGGTTTAGACACCGGGTGGTCCCAGGAGTCCGCCCACCCGAGGAGCCACAGTAATCGGCTCAACGGGGCGCCCTGTACAGCAGGGGGACAGCTTCTCCTCCACACGAGCTCACGGGACCCACAGGTTAGGGCCCCCTCAGGCCCATCCTAAGCTCACGAAGCCACGAGGAAAGAAGATGCCACAGGCAAGAGCCAGGAGAAGCTGCAGGGACAGGGAGACTTCCGAGGAGCCGTGGGTGAGGCTACGGGGCCGAGACGAGGAAATGAGCGTGTTCAAGTGACGTGAAAATTTGCCGTCGTCAAGTCCGCGGAAATGCAAGCGGCTAACCAAGCAGATGAGCCCCTCGGCGAAGACGACAGACACAGAAACGACACGGCAACCGAGACAGGAAACTGGCACAACCGTTGCTAAATACAAGAAGTCTCCACTGTCCAGCAGCAGCCACCGCGAGGGACAATTCAGAGGATCACTAACAACAGCGAGACCCAAACACGGCAACTGCAGCCCGTGAAACGGGGGCCCGGGAGGGTCGGGAGCCTCGGACTGACCGCTGATGGCGATCGGAGCGGTAGGGGAACCACATGCTCGACCCTAATGTCACCTCCTCCAAGAAGCCCGTCCCTCAGACCCACGCACCCTGGCCCCTTGCTGCCTCGCCCACCTTCCTCTCGGATGGTCAGGGGCCTCGCCACCTCCAGGCTAACACTCCTGTTTGCGCCCCCAGAAGTGCCCCTGGAGGTTCAGATAGAGGCCTGGGCCTGGCTTGGCGGTTGGACCCAGCGAGGCTGTGGCGCCCCACCCATGGGAGCTGGGACCATGGGCCTTTCCCGGTGATGGCATCACCTGGACTGGCACCCTTTCTCCCACGCCAGGGCTGTCCACGGGGGCTTGCCAACCGCTCAGGCTCCAGAAGCTCAGGGCCTCTGGGCCGGGCTGACGTCGAGCTGGAGAAAGAGAACCGGCTCGGTGCCCAGCTCTGCACACAAGGCGCGGGCCTCTCGGGGCCCTCGCATCTCATCAGCATTCCACGGACGCGCCGTGAGCCGGGTAACTCCAGCCGCTGAATGGCCACGCCGCTGGCCACTCTGCGCTCAGCGAATGGCGAGGATGCCTCGCTCCACGCCCAACCTGCCATTAGCATTCGCAGAAAGGCCCCCATCTGCCTCGCAACAATGGTCCTGCCCTGAATCGGAGCTGCGGGGACACCGGGCATCGGCTGGCACAATTGTCCTTTGTGCCCACTCCAGGGGCGGGTGGGAGCACGTCCCAGGGCTCAGCAGTGATGTGGCCAGGCCTGAGCACATCCAGACAGCATGGAGGAGGCCACGGGTAGCCTGGTGCCCTGCTCCTCCTGCCTACCATCTCCCCGAGAGGACGCCCACGCACCCCCAAGCACAGCAGCCACGGCCCCCTCCCAGGACGCTCTCCGCCTCCTGCCCAGGGACGGTCGCCAGGTGCAGAGGACACACAGGGGGTCCGCTGCCCACGAACCAAGTGCTCGGCGGGACAGACCCCTGCGCCCCTGGGTGCAGGGGTTAGGAACAAGGTGAGCTTGTCACCCTCTGCCACGCTCAGGACAGCGACACCGTCCGCACAGCCACCCGTCAGCCAGAACTCTGGCGGGTTCCTGGACACGGTCCGTGGGGGGAGGTGGGCCTGGGAACGCAGCAGAGTGAAGCACCCGGCGCCCACTCCCCCCGGGAGGGCTCAGCGGGCGTGGGCTGCCTCCTTTCAGCAAACTTGGGACACCAGCCACAGCACGACCGGGGCAGGGCCTGGCGCCCAGCAGCCCAGGGTCCAGAACAGAACAGGGGGGTCCCTCCGGGGGGGGCGGTCAGGCCTCCTGGGGGACATGCCTTCCAGCCCCGGGTGGAAGGAGCAACAGGACTCTAGCAGGCAGAAGCGAGGCCAGCGGAGCCAGCACAGGGCCGTGGGACACCTGAGGCCCCCCCAGAGGACAGCAAGCGCCCGGGGGAGGCGTGGGCAGCCGGCCCCCGGGCCCGCCTGAGCCCCGCCCGCGCGGACCCTGCTCACCAGAACCCTCGTAGCTGTCCACCGAGAAGTGGTCCAGCCTCCGCTCCTCCGAGACGGGGTCGTAGGTGATGTGGGGGACGGTGAGCATCTTCTCGCCCGGACTCACCCCGTTGTCTTTGTCCAGTTTGAACTTTTTTTTCTTTACCTAAAAAAAACCAGACAATAAATTGGTGGCTCGTGTGCGTCTTCCGCCGGCCCCAGAACACCCGAGCCCCCCTGCTGGTCCTGCGGGGAGCGGGCTCAGGGGCCGAACTCCAGCACCCCACACACAGAGGTTGGGCTGTGGCATCGTGGGCTGCCCCGGGGTGCCATGACCAGGGGACGGGGGGACAGACGGATGTACAAGAGCCCAGCACGGCAGGAGTGACGAGGGCTGGGGCCCCAGGAGGTTCAAGCACGTGAGGGGGATCTACCGGGGCCAGCAAAGGCCCCCTGGAACACGTGACCCGGAGGAACAGGCCACGCGGGAATGTGGGCGATGGTTCTGGCTGAGGGAACAGCGGGTGCAAAGGATCGAGATGGAGCTAGAAACAGAGGTGGGTCCCTCCAGAAAAGACGTGGGCAAGGGCCCTGCCACCCTGCACTCCCCACCCCAGCCAAACCACGGGACTCTTGCCCAAAGCCTCCTGAAATCTCACTGTGACCTCAGCCCCTCTGCCCAGCTGGGATGCCCCCAGCTCAGAAAGCCCGACACCAGGGCCCCCTCAAGAGACTCCTCCCCACAGCCAGCCATCCACCCATCCTGGGGACTGTTTTCTGGGCCACCTGGCCATGGCCTTGAGTCTGGGGACACTGGGATGACAGAGCCCAGCATGGGGTAAACACCCTCAACGCTCAGAATAGTGCTAATGCCCTAAAACACCAGAGTCAAGTCCCAGCCAGAAGGGGGCCCACACGGCCTCCCTGCCCACTAACAAGTGGCCCCGTCCTGGGCAGGGGGGCTGTTACCATGGCAGATTTCTTGGGCTTGGGGCTGGGGGAGAGCAGAGCGTGGCCCCGGGCTGGCTTCCGCACGTAGATTTTCCAGGTGGCCGAGTCAGGGTTCTCGGCGGCATAGCACCTCCATGCCGTCTGGAACCAGGAGAGAGAGGTTGTCACCTGCCAAGCCACCCGGCGAGGCCTTGTTCAAAAGCTGCAGCCCATCGATCCTGCCCGTGCCCCCTCCAACCCCAGCAGGACAGCAGGGCATCCTGTGTGCCAGCCCCCAAGCTCAAGCCTGCCCCTCAGCTCCCAGAGCCCTACCCACGCAGCCTGGCTCAGCCCCTCCCTGTGACGGGCCCCTCACCCCACGCACAGAGCACACGCCCACCTCTGGAACCTTCCTTTCCCCACTTCTCCCAGGCTCTGCCTCCTCCGAAGGGGGTGAGATGGGTGAGGGGGTGAGGGGAGCGAGGGGGGCAAGGGGTTGACCTGCCTGGGTCCCCACCAGGCAATCAGGGGCCTCCGCCAGGTGACCCAGAGCTGCAGGGTCTGCCCGGGGTAGGGGACCCTTCCTTCTTCCTCCCGGACTTGCTCCCACTCAGAGCGAGGGGGTGGGCTCAGGAGGGAAAAGACAGTCAGGAGGAGGTGAACCACGGCCGGCCCTGCAGCCGGCGGCGAGGGGCCACAGAGCTGAGGGGCTAGGCCACCTCCTAGGCCCCAGCCAGCCGGCAGGCTGTGACCGCCCACGGGGCCTCGTGGGGCCTGGGTGGAAGGAGGTGGAGGGTGACAGGTGCCCGCCCTGTCGGTGTTGCCCAGAGCGTCCCTGGAGCAGCAGGCACGGGAGGCGAGCACGGCCACGCCGTGGAACGTGGCCCATCCACATTCTGGAGGCTCCGCTGAGAAAGTCCTGTGAGCTTTACGGCCCAGATCAGCTTGGGGCCAGCAGCAGGTCCCCACAGCCCGAATGGACCCTCGCTGTGTGGCCACAGTGGGAAACGACAACGACAAGGCCGCCAGGCAGGCGCCGTCACCTGGATGAGCGAGGCCGCCGCGGGGATCTGCCGGTTGAAATGCTTCTGCCGCTGCTTCTGCTGGACCTTCAGGGCGAACCCGGAGCCCAGGATCCCCTGGCGAGAGACAGAACCCCACTCACACAGCCGCAGGGCTCGGGAGCTGGGGGACGGGTGGGCACGGGGCTCACGTGGTGCCCAGGCCCCACACGTGAAGCCAGCGCCTCTGGCCAGCCCGCCTGGCAGAAGGTGGCCCCGTCCAAGGAGGGTCTCGGCTGAACCCAGGGCGGCTGATGGGAGGGACCAGCTCATCGAGTCGCGAGCTCCCCGCCCACAGAGGGGACCCAGTCCTACAGACGTGCGCACACACATGCACGCAACGCCGTACCACGGCCTGACCTGTACTCACCCCGCACAGTGTACACAACACACACACAATGCGTGTACACTATGCACACACAGCACATGGGTGCAGACAGAACACGCAAACCCGTGTGCACACAAGCATGCGAAAATACACACTACATGTACACCCGTGTGACACGTGTACACATACAATACACATCCAAGACGTGTACACACAGCACTGGTGTATCTCACACACACACGCAGTGAACCAGGACATCTACCCCACAGGGGCTGTGGTCTCTGGGAAGGACACAGGTCAAAGCCCCTCTCAGGCCACAGCACGGGCCATGTGCTCCCTCACCCGGCACTCATGTGGCAGCTGCTATTGGGGCTCACCCTACCCCTCGGGGACCAAATAAGCCACCTGCACCCCTGTGTGCTGGGCGAGGCCCCCTCCAGGCTGCCTCTGCACTTGTCACCAACAGCCCCGCTGGGCCCCCGGCCAGCGAGCGGGGCTCCGCGTTGCCCGCCTCCGTGAGTGGCCGGCTCCCGGGGACCTGCCCGCCCCGGAGCCCAGGGGGGGCCGGTGAGCGCGGAGACGAGACACGGAGCACCTACCGCCGGGAGCGCAAAGAAGGAGATGGCGAACACGGAGAAGCAAGAGGCGATGGTCTTCCCGACCCACGTCTGGGGCACCTTGTCCCCGTAGCCGATGGTGGTGACCGTGACCTGCGAGAGAAAGGACAGCGGTCAGCAGTCGGGGCCCCAGGCGTCTGTGCAGCCTGACCCACCACCACCCATGACCTGCCACCCTGCAAGCAAAGGCCGGGTGGTCTCATCCGCAAGATGGGGTCCCCCAACTGCACGCTGCCATGGAGGCCAGATCACTGGGGTGGGCGCAGGGGCCAGGCGCCCACGGAAAACAGGGCCGCGTGGACACGTAGGCCAGGAGGCCGCCCCTCGGGAAGACCAGGGCCTGGCATCCGCCTCCCGCCTCCCGCCTGCCCCATCCCGGAGGAGGCTGCCACCCAGGCCACCGGCGTCGCTGTGCACGGGCCCCCCGGAGGCTGGTCCGCGACAGCCGGACGGGGGAGACACGCCACTTCCTGCCGCCACCACAGCACCACATGTTTCTTCTGCCCTTTTTTTTCCCCCGGAGAAGCAGACGTAGCTCAACCCTCCTCCTGGTGGGGGGCCAACAGTCCTGGGCGGTGGTGTGACAATGGGGACCAGGCTGCCCCCACCCCAGGGGGCATCTGCTGCCATGTGAGGTTCTCCCTGAGGTCTCCCGCTGCAGAAACTCTGGAGCCCACCCTGGCTGGGCTGGCAGCTCAGGCCCCACGTCCCTGGCCCCCAGCTGCCCCCCGGATCTGGGCCATGGGCTGTTTTTGGGTGTTCCAGGGGCCGGATTGAGCCTGGCAAGGGGACCTAGGATGCCCCGTGTCACAGCCATCCTGTCGGCACAGGTACTCACACCCACACACAGGGACAGCGGGCATGGTGGGGTGGCCCTGAGTGTTCGTGTGGCTCCAGGGCCCATGAGAGATCGTCCTGGCCGGCCTTGTTGCCCCGTGGACTCGCCAGCCTGGTCCTGGGCAGCCAGCCTCTCCCCTGGGGGACACCAGGCCAGGCCAGAGAGAGAAGCCTCCACAGGCCCGGAAGGTTTGCAGGGAGCCTCCCTTGGATCCCCTGTCCCGTGAGCCCCGTGCTGAACCGCCACTGCCCAGACCTCAGTGGTGGTCACGTGGCACACACGTATAAGCAGAGCACACCCACACGCACACACGCACAAGCATGGCAAGGTGGCACAGAGGGACTGCCGTCATGTGGAGCCTGGCACCCTCGGGGTCACTCAGACCCAACAACTCACACCACAGGGTGGAACCAGACCACCCTGGGGCCCCAGGCAAGGCTGACGGCCGGCTGGCAAATAGGGGAGCCCTGGGGGAATCCAGAGCCCCCTTGTCGGCAGCGTGTCCTCCCGGAGGGCCTGCGCCCCACGTGTGCCGCCTGGGCCGCAGCTGCGTCTGCAGAGGGCCGGGCACTGGGAGCAAAGGCAGATCTGGGGCTGCAAATGGGCGGGGCGTCCAGACACTGCCCAGGCCTCTCTGGGAAATAGAGACTTTTTCATAAGGTTCCCTTATTTATGTAAACATATATTACTAACATACATTATAATAAACATCTGCTTTTTTAATGAATTAATGTGGAAACATTAAAAAACTTCTCAGTTTTCTAATGTGCTAAGTATCCATAGATCTAACCCATAAAAAGCACATGCTCTCCGGGGTCTTTGACAGTTAAGAGTATAAAGCTCCTGACAAGGGCCTCATGGGAGGGTGACCCCTGAGGCCAGGCAGTGGGGGAGGCCGGCGAGGCACCCATGCCCGGGGGACAAAGTTTAAGGGGCGCCAGAAAACTCAGGAAACACTTTAAAAACTAACATGTAATGCAACCCTTTAAATTATCAAAATTAATGACGGACATTAATGTAGGTGGGGAAGGAAGGGCCACTGGAGGGCTCTGGGGGCAGAGTGAGTGGGTGGCAGG